TGAAGTTGTGGCTCTTCTTTTCTACACCCTAACTCAGTCAAGAAGTTGTCACTCTTCTTGTCTAAGCAATAACTCTGTCATGAAGTTGTGGCTCTTCTTGTGTACACCCTAACTCTGTCATGAAGTTTTGGCTCTTGTTATCTATACCATAACTCATTCATGAAGTTGTGGCTCTTCTTGTCTACACCATAACTCTGTCATGAAGTTGTGGCTCTTCTTGTCTACACCATAAGTCATTCATGAAGTTGTGGCTCTTCTTGTCTACACCGCAACTCATTTATGAAGTTGTAGCTCTTCTTGTGTACACCCAAACTCTGTCATAAAGTCGTGGATCTTGTTGTCTACACCATAACTCATTCATGAAGTTGTGGCTCTTCTTGTCTATAACTTAACTCTGTCATAAAATGGTGTCTCTTCTTGACTACACCCTAAATCTGTCATGAAGTTCTCACTCTTCTTGTCTACACACTAACTCTGTCTTGAAGTATTGGCTCTTCTTCTTTACCCCCTAACTCTGTCATGAAGTTCTCGCTATGGTTGTCTACCCCCTAACTCTGTCATGAAGTTCTCGCTATGGTTGTCTACCCCCTAACTCTGTCATGAAGTTCTCGCTCTTGTTGTCTACCCCCTAACTCTGTCATGAAGTTCTCGCTCTTGTTGTCTACACCCTAACTCTGTCATGAAGTTCTCGCTCTTGTTGTCTACCCCCTAACTCTGTCATGAAGTTCTCGCTCTTGTTGACTTCCCCCTAACTCTGTTATGAAGTTCTCGCTCTTGTTGTCTACCCCCTAACTCTGTCATGAAGTTCTCGCTCTTGTTGTCTACCCCCTAACTCTGTCATGAAGTTCTCGCTCTTGTTGTCTACCCCCTAACTCTGTCATGAAGTTCTCGCTCTTGTTGTCTACCCCCTAACTCTGTCATGAAGTTCTCGCTCTTGTTGTCTACCCCCTAACTCTGTCATGAAGTTCTCGCTCTTGTTGTCTACCCCCTAACTCTGTCATGAAGTTCTCGCTCTTCTTGTCTACCCCCTAACTCTGTCATGAAGTTCTCGCTCTTGTTGTCTACCCCCTAACTCTGTCATGAAGTTCTCGCTCTTGTTGTCTACCCCCTAACTCTGTCATGAAGTTGTGCCTCATTTCGTCTAGGGTCTACACCATAACCCGGTCATAAAGGTGAGGCCCTTGTTGTCTAGGGTCTACACCATAACTCTGTCATAAATTAGCCATTACATATAATTTATTTGTCCAGTTTTTTTAAAAAGCCCGAACAAAAATGATTGAAGAAGTAGTCTGGTCAACATTAGATGATTTCCTTCTCCAATGACATTTAAACACAACTTTACCACTAAAACTGACATCCCACGTTACTATAGTTGATAATCTGACCAGCATGATTTCTACATCCTGACACTAAAGCACTATGGCTTCTACATCCTGACACTAATAGCACTATGGCTTCTATACCCTGACACAACTAGCACTATGTTATTGTAAGTCTGAGGTCATACCGCTGTAGTATCCAAGTATATCTTTGTATGTGACAGGGCCAATTTGTGTACGCCTTAAGTCCTGTCATGGTGTAGCACTGGCCCTGTGGGTGCGTGGCATTTGAGCTGTCATTGTGATACTTTTTCATGTCAGTTTGTAACATTGGGCCTGTCAATGTGTAAAATTCTTTCTCCTACTATGTGACATTGGTCCTGTCTCTCTGTAACATTGGTTAGGTCATTGTGTGACATTAGTCCTATCATTGTGTGACATTGGCCCTGTCATTGTGTAACATAGGTCATGTCATTGTGTGATGTAGGTCCTGTCATTGTGTGAGATTGGTCCTGTCATTGTGTAACATTGGTCCTGTCTCTCTGTAACATTGGTCCTGTCATTGTGTGACATTGGTCCTGTCATTGTATGAGATTGGTCCTGTCTCTCTTTAACATTGGTTAGGTCATTGTTTGCCATTGGTCCTGTCTTTGTGTAACATTGGTCCTGTCTCTCTGTAACATTGGTCCTGTCATTGTGTGACATAGGTCCTGTCATTGTGTGACATTGGTCCTGTCATTGTGTGACATTGGTCCTGTCATTGTATGAGATTGGTCCTGTCATTGTGCGACATTGTTCCTGTCATTGTTTGACATTGGTCCTGTCCTTGTGTAACATTGGCCCTGTCTCTCTATAACATAGGTCCTATCATTGTGTGATATTGTTCTTGTCACCGTGTAACATTGATCTTGACACTGTGTAATATGGGCCCCGTCACTGTGTAATATGGGCCCCGTCACTGTGTAATATGGGCCCCGTCACTGTGTAATATTGGTATTGTCACTGTGTAACATTGGTTTGTTCCTGTGTAAAATTGATTGGTTCTGTCCCTGTGTAATAAGTCACCTTAGTCTATTAACGTCAGCCTCTGGTTTAGCTTAAGGGGTGACACCATCTCAGGGGGGGAGGGGGGGGGGGTTGGGTTACGTCTATTTGACCAAGTGCATGTGTACAGAGGGTAGAGAGGACAAACAGGACGGTATAAAACGTGTTTCAGAAAAATATAAACCGATCCAGAGGCGTAGCGTGGTGGGGGTCGTATCCATGATCAGAGGCGTAGCGTGGTGGGGGCAGGGGGGGGACAGATGTCCCCGGGCGCCAGCTAGTTAGGGGCGCCAAAATGTGCTTTGATATTATTTTATTGATGAAAATAATGGGTTTGAGGGTTGAAAAAAAGAAAAAGGGGCGCTAAAAATGGATCTTGTTCCCGGGCGCGAATCTTGTCCCCAGGCGCCAAAAACCCATGCTACGCCACTGAACCGATCACACGTCAATAGCCTTCACATGGAACAGGGAAAGGAACATTTTCAATAAAGTAAATTTAATGTAAGAATAAGTATAGATAACGTTGTTACAGTTCTTAAATACATCTACCTCCTGACCTTCAATTCTTTCTTTTTTTTTTTGGTGTTCTTGTCATTATCTTATTGTGGACTTATTTTAACCAGAAGAAATCCATCGTGGGGAGGGGGGGGGGACACAAAAAGTTTAGCGCACCGGGTTACACCAACCCTAGCTACACAAATGACGCCAGACTCTATGTCAGAACTTTACAAAACTGTTTTAGTATCATTTCTTATCCTGTGCGATACAACTTGTATACCAAATCCATACCCATTTTATATCCATTTTGCATAACCTCTTTATATTCATATTAGATACCATCTCTTTACCAGTTGCAATACCTGTGCTTTACATGTTCAATACCTCTGAAATATTAATTCGATACCAAGCCTATACCTATTCGATACCACTTCTATAACCTTCGATACCATTTCCAACACGAATTTTTATCTAGAACAAATGTTTCAAACTCAAGGCCCGCGGGCCACATCCAGCCTGCCGTAGAATAATATCAGGGCCGCGAGGTCTTGAACGGTTTACAATTATATCCAAGTCAACGCTATTGTGTTTCCGAGGGCCGCGAGGTCTTGAACGGTTTACAATTATATCCAAGTCAACGCTATTGTGTTTCCGAGGGCCGCGAGGTCTTGAACGGTTTACAATTATATCCAAGTCAACGCTATTGGGTTTCCGAGTGAACACTTTGAGGAAAACCGTAGCTTACTTTGCGCCTAGTTCGCAAGGCCCTTCGTCATGTTTCGTAACCAATTTGTCCTAGACGTGGAAACTGCACCTGTAAATTTGCAGATGAAGCTAATAGACCTGCAGTGTAATGGGACACTAAAGGCAAAGTACGACACAGTTGGGCCTATAAATTTCACAACTAAAGAAATGCCCCAGCTTCGTCTACATGTGGCTCGAACCTTGAGCATGTCGGGTAGCAAATATCTGTTTGAGCAGCTGTTTTCTGTGATAAAGATTAACAAAACATGACACAGGGAGTCGTCTCACTGGTGAACACTTTCAGTCAGTCCTGAGAATCTCAATGACACAGAACGTTACTCCCAACATAAACGAACTTACTTGTTATTGATGACAATAAAATGTGCCAAACACCCACCTCTGACAATTTGGCATAGGAACGAAAATTGGTATGCGAATAATGTTTTATTATTAAAGCTTTTTTTCTGTTGTCATTTATTTTATTTTTTAAATGTAAGATTACTTTTCAACTTATTGATTGTTTATCCTGGTCGGCCCGCAACCTTACTTGTGATTTGAGCTTTGGCCCGCCGAGTGATTGAGTATGACACCTCTGATCTAGAAGTATCCAAGATTTATTTGACATGTAAATTTAGGTTTTTCCTGAAAATGTTATGTGTTTTGTGTATCTTCAGGGCACAAAGGTTAGATAATAATATGACACAAATGACCGTTGCAAGTTTGACCAAATGTTTTATTAGCCTCATGTCATAAAATAAATGTCCAGGAATTGAAATCCAGAATGTGCTTATAAAGAGTGGACCAATCAGACCACCGAGCCTTTCGTCGCGTCAGCTTAAGATAGTCAGAGACGAGAAGATAAGCCTGTTAGACCAACACTACTCCGGAGTAAGCCTTACCATTAGCTCTGTAACTTGACATTCTTTGACTTTACATGTAACATGTTTCTGTAACTATACATATATTACGATTGTGTAACTTTAAGTATAACATTTGTCTGCAACTATACAAATATCATGTTTCTATTACTATAGATTTATATATCGTGTTTCTGTAATTATACATATAACATGTGTTTGTAACTATACATATAACATGTTTCTGTAACTAAACAAATATAATGTTTCATTAAATAGACATATACCATGTTTCTGTAAATATACATATAACATGTTTCTCTAATTATACACATATAATATTTACATTATCTCATATATGTGTCACTGGCAAATTCTGACAAGAGCCCATGCTTACTTATCCTATGAGTTGATCTTACTTCATAGATATCAACATTACCTCATTGCTATCAACATTACCACACTGCAGTAACATTACCATGTCGCTGTCAACAGTACCCCGTGGCTATCAACATCACCCTACGTTCCATTTCGCCCTTCAGTTGGCGCGTACGATGTGCTTAATCCAGTCGACATAGTGAGACACCCGCGTAAAGATGTTAGGTATGACCGTGCCGTTACATCCCTGGTAGATGAAGCTGGCCACGCCTATGACGAAGTACTTCCCTCTGACCAGGCAACTTAGAGGCCCCCCAGAGTCCCCATGACACATGCTCGCCTTTTGGTGCACATCCAGAGCGTCGACGCAGACGTGTCCCTCATTGATGAAAGGGTTTCCGGTGAGCTTCCAGGCGTATCTGCAGCTCTTCTGTGGAACAACTCTCACTTTGATCTGCTGCAGACGAGAGGTCGCGGGGAACGAGGCACCGAAGCCAGTCGCATAGCAGAAATCTGAGATGTAAAAGTCTTCTCTATCGCGTGGAAGGCAGGCCGGACTGATGAAATCATTGAAAGGCACGGGGCTGGCCAACTGGATCAAGCCTATGTCATCCAGATAATCAGTGGACCAAACGTGTGGAACGAACTCGGCTCTCACGGCGACTCTCCGTGAGTCAGAAGTTCTGTGGTTAAGGTCGTTCACGCCAAAATCCACGAATTTAACAGATTTAGCGCAGTGCGCAGCAGTGAGGACCCAATGGTGCGCAATGAGCACCCCGCCGCACCTATGGGTGTCTGACTCAACGTAGGCCTGCCAGGGCCAAGCTTTCAGCGGAGCATGTTGGCCTAACACGATCATGTCTGTCGGGTCAATGTCCATCGTGCCACACTGCACGTCATCGAATAAGGTGTCTTTGGGCAGGTTGGAAATGGTTGTAGATGCATTCTGGGACGGCTCGTAAACCGGCTCCTCAAGCTCCTCATAGTACGACCGCAGGAACAGCTCGTGCTGATACCGGTATTCCTCCAGGTCGGCTTTTGGGCGCACCAATGGGCTGCATCTAATTTTCGGTGTCGTTTTCCAGCAACAATCGGACGTTCTGCATACCCAGCACATGACTATGACCTTCGGAACAAATAGAGGTATTTAGCGACATGTATGATCCATATGATATGTACAAGTAAATCTGAGCTGGAATGTAAGATTGCCAGCTGCAGTAGGAGAATTCTTACGGTCTATCATAACATGCTAGCTGCAGTACCACAATTCTTACGGCCTGTCATAGCTTGCTAGCTGCATTACCACACTTCTTACGGTCTGTCAACTTTCCAGCTGCAGCACCAGCAGTCTCATACAGTCATTCATTAGTTCATTCCTTACACAATTATCTGACTACTTCTTATTATTAACAGACTTTGCTTGTTGCACCCTGAAAGATTATGCATGGGGTTGTACTTACAGGAGTTTAAAATACAATGAGTAAAACAAAGTAGGGTTAAACCTGAAAAAAACCGCAGCTAAACAACGAACGTGTCGGCAGGAAGCCTTCCCCAGCGAACAAAACAACAGATAAAAAGTATTAAAAAAAATAGCATTTAGCTTATAAGTAGTAACCGTGGGGAGCAAATGAATTGTGACAGAAAGTAAGTGAGTGAGAGATTAAATACGGAAGAGGGAAAGAAAAGAGGAGAAGTAAGTCCACTGCGATAGGTCGGGAGTGGAGGGGTGGAGCTAGGTTCAAGCTGTGAAAAAAGACATGACATTCATACCATTTGGCGTCAATGTGCCATAAGTCAGGATACGCCTGTGTTCCAAATTCACTCGGCTGGGTGTGTTCATGCTAGCCACGATCGCACTTATTGAAAATTCCGTTGTGCCCTAGTGGTGGCTACTATTGAAGTGTTTGGAGACGGGACAATGCTTATCTTGTGTAATGTTACGGAGGTGTTCGGTACACCTGTCAGAGAGTCAGCGTCCAGTGTCCTCTCTGTACGTCATCTGGCAGCGGGTGCAGACAATGGCGTAGACTGCGTTGCGGCTTGTTTTGTACCGTCGCGTATCTGAAAACTGCCCTTAGGGAAACGTATGAGTTGAGTCTGGACGACAAAAAGGCAAGTGTGGCAACGGCTGCGTCCACACGGCTTGGCCTAAAGTGGGAGGGGGCAGCGTTGATACGACTGCGCACAAGGAGGTCTCAGATTTTTATCTCGTCTGAAAACAATGTGAGGTGGGGAAGAGGCGGTCTTTTTCAGGTTTAACCCTGCTTTGGTTGGCTCGTTTTATATTGTGCTATCCTGATTGCAGTCTCTCCCCTTATTAGGAGTTTAAGAGTGGTCCAGTCCTAGCATAATTTTAGTGTGGGATTTTCGTAACAGATTTTAGACGTGGGACATATCAAGTATTGATTATAAAGACACATCAAGTAATGATTAGAACAGATACATCACGTATGCATTTTAGTATACAGTTCTAAAATAAACATTTGTTAAACATGGACAGTTGTAAAATCAACATGCATGCTTAAAGTATGCATCAACAACACAGAGTCTTACCGTAAACATATAAGTGTTCATGATTTCCCCATCTGATGGGAGAATGATTCAATTCCTTAGTGGGGACTCATCTGGCTTTCTCATCTCGTATCCTTTGTTAACTGTTTAAAGCAATCATTGTTTTCTTGAATACAAATTAACAATTCGTCTCAGATGCGTTTCGTATATGATGAGGTCAAGTCATCTTTAGATCGCTTGTACATGGACTTATCATCCATCAGCATAGGCCAGTTGAAAAGACTTTCGTGAGTCTTTCGTATTGTGGATGCTCAATGTTCAGTGAGTACCTGAAACACAGGCTGGAAATAACTGATTGATATTTTAAAAGTGCTATTTATGAAGTGTGGTATCTTTTTGATGGGTTTAATGAAAAGTGCTTTAGTTTAGATGCATTTAATATGTTTAATGGAAATATTAGTGAACTTATCAATGAATCGATCATTCTTCTCTTAGATGAGATGCCGTCCAAGGCTAACGAGTTCCCTCCACCTGGGATGCCTGGGATGTTGGCTTTGGTGAGGATTGACCTACGAAACACTAGCTTTTTGGATGAGTTAGTTTATACCGCTTGGGATCCAAGCCAGTTTCCCTTTCTTTAAAATTACTTAAGTGGACCTTTTCATTTAATTGATACACGGCCATACTGCATTTAATTTAATAATCATTTTATCTCAACCTCAAAGCCAAACTAATCCCTTTACCAACCACAGTGCCCATATTTAACAATAAATGTACCAACCACAGTGCCTATATTTAACAATAAATGTACCAATCACAGCGTCCATAATTAAAAGTAACTGTACCAAACACAGCCTCTATACTTAAGAGTTAAAACTGTATTTACCACAGCCTCTATACTTAAGAGTTAAAACTGTACTTACCACAGCCTCTATACTTAAGAGTTAAAACTGTACTTACCACAGCCTCTATACTTAAGAGTTAAAACTGTACTTACCACAGTCTCTATACTTAAGAGTTAAAACTGTACTTACCACAGCCTCTATACTTAAGAGTTAAAACTGTACTTACCACAGTCTCTATACTTAAGAGTTAAAACTGTACTTACCACAGCCTCTATACTTAAGAGTTAAAACTGTACTTACCACAGTCTCTATACTTAAGAGTTAAAACTGTACTAACCACAGTCTCTATACTTAAGAGTTAAAACTGTACTTACCACAGTCTCTATACTTAAGAGTTAAAACTGTACTTACCACAGTCTCTATACTTAAGAATTATAGCTGAACTTACCACAGTCTCTATACTTATGAATTATAGCTGTACCAACCAATAATACTTATAACATTCCCAACCATTTAATCCCAATGATAGCTATTAACTAACCCATAAAATTAATCAAACTAATAACAATTTGACCATGTGATACAAACTAAGAACTATAACAATCCCACCAATTCAATCAAAAGAACAACTGTAGCAATACATCCCATGTCAATCCAACCAATGACTGGTCCCCAGAAAGACTGTAACTAATCCCACCATTTAAAAAACCACCGATTGTACCGACCCCAGTCTACAGTAAAAAAACAAATACTGTACCTTAGAGACTCTTAAAAACCAAATGCCGTTTCAACAATCCTTGATCTATGATTAGTACTATAGTTTATACACTCAAATCAATTATTTCGCAATAATGTTTGCCTTTCAGTGTACCAAAATATCAAATGGTGCGTATCAAAGGAGTGTTTTGTGGTGCTTTGTGCAACACAAAGTGAAGCCGTGCACGATCAAAGATCAAAATGCAGTTATTGTTGCCTTATGATTTTCACTAACAATCATTAGTTTGACGATAGAGCTGCCAATTATTAGTTTGAAGATATGGCTACCAACCATTAGTTGGACGATATGACTACCATTCATTATTTGACAATATGGCTCATCAATAATAATAATAATAAGAGGTCTTATAAGAGCCTAGGGCTGGGCTCACCGCGCTGTACATACATTTTTTATCAAAAGAGACATAATCATGACATTAAAATAAAATGCACTTTTGAAATAAAGAACGGCAATGTATATTCACCCACCCCACCACATAACTTTTACAAGGCAAACCATGGACGGCAGCCAGCAAGATCGTTTATCAGCCAGAGGAGGGGATTAAGTCAGGGCAGTATCATCATATCATTGTAGTTTGCGTTTTTTTCGCAGTAACCAGTAGGTCATCTTACTCCCCAATTGCCTGACGAACCCTTCTTTCACTGTATCATTGGAGATATGGTCCCTAAAGCAGATAACAAAAATGCTTCTGAAGCATCTCATCTCCATCGCCTTTATTTTCCTTTCAAGATCGGCTGTTGTAGTCTGCGCATTCCTGGACATCAGTTCCGGTCTGGAGCCTTCTTCTGAGACTATTGCTCCTAGGTATTTGAAGCGGCCTACAGTCTCTAGTCTTACCTCCCTGACCTTAATTTCAGTGGTGATGCCTGTGTTGTTCTTTGTCATCAGTTCTGTCTTTTCGGCACTGATTAGCATGCCGTAGGACGACGAGGCCATATCGAGACGCTTTACCAGGTTGGCTAGGTCTTCTTCGTTCCCAGCCAGTCGTTTATGTCGTCCGCAAAGCGTAGGTTGGTGTTGTTCTGCCACCAATGCTGCCTGTCCCTTCATGGGCTTCCAGAGCATCTGACTTAATTCTCTCTAAGAAGATGTTGAACAGGGTGGGGGAGAGCAGGCAGCCTTAGATGACGATATGGCTAACAATCATTAGTTACTAATCATTAGAAGTGCGAGATAGCTACCAATATTTATTTTGAAGTTATGCTACAAATCAGTGACTTAACAATGTAGCTACCAATCAGTGGCTTTACAATGTAGCTACCAATCAGTGGCTTAACAATGTAGCTACCAATCAGTGGCTTAACAATGTAGCTACCAATCAGTGGCTTAACAATGTAGCTACCAATCAGCGGCTTAACAATGTAGCTACCAATCAGTATATCGACGAATCGTTTAAGGTATTTAAAAGTTTGTCAAGTATTAAGGATTTTTTAAAAGACAAACAAAAAACCAAATAAATTTGTATTGCATTTAATCAATTAAATTGTATGGTATCCATAATAATACAACAAATGAACTAAACGACTTCACAATTAAAACCTAGAAAGAAATGGATTCTGTCAATGGAGAAAGCATAGTTATTCTAAAAAAAAAAATTTTTGAAAAGAAAATATAACATGTTTGTTAACATATAATTCATTGGTTACAAGTGCCCCACTTTAATATCAATATGATATGATGTGACGTCTGGATGACGTGGTACAAACCAGAACTATTTTAGTAGTTTCATGGTGGTACCTCTGTCGTCATGCTAGAACGCGATATCTCAGTAGTTGTTGTTCGTCCGTCGAAATCGACTAGGACCATCGATTCATCCGGTTAGGGGGGTGGTGGGTTACGGTGATCTCGTAGGTGGCTTGCTAGACCGATCCGTGCTGGGAATAATCTCTGGCATCGTGGGCAGGGGATACTTGATGCAGTCAGTGATCTAGAATTGCTCTTTCGGGCCAGCCTGCGTGTCTCAGCTGTGGCTGTCTTACTGGCCTCACAAGATGTATCCCCTTTCTTGACAGCTGTTCTCCCATTGGCTCTGTCCTGGGCTGCCTGCACCCATTTAGTAGGGTTGATGCTGAAGGCATTTAGTGCAGCTTTCCATGAGTTTTTGTTAAGCTATTTTTTACCTCCTTGTGAGCGCTTGCCTATCACGAGGTCTCCAAAGAAGATCTGTTTTAGGAGCGGATAGTCTTCGATACGGGCTACGTGTCCCATTGATAGAGTTGAGACTGCATCAGGGTGGTGAATATCCTTGGTAGGTTTTCTTTAGCGAGGACCTCTCTTTTAGGAACTATGTCTTGCCACCTGATGCCAATGAGTTTCCTGAGGCAGGTTGTGTGAAAATGGTTCAGTTTCTTGGCGTGACGTTGGTAGACTGTCCACGTTTCACATCCATAGAGCAGTGTCGAGAGGATTGCTGCGCTATACACCTTGATTTTCGTTTCTCCCTTGATACTTCTTCTGTCCCAAAGAGTTCTGCGGAGCCTGCCAAATATGGCACTAACTTTTGCGAGTCTGGCATTCATTTCATCATCCATGACGACCGATCTGGAGGGGGTGCTGCCCAAGTAAGTAAATGTATCCACTGCGTTAAGACGTTGTCCGTTGATGATGATTTTGGGTTCAACGTAGGACTTACTGGGAGCTGGTTGATACATCACCTCAGTATTCTTTGTGTTGATTGTGAGGCCAAAGTTATTGCAGGTCTCAGAGAAGCAAATACCATATCAATAGTTCCGCGTAATTTTTCATGAAATATGTCAGACATCCCAGTCAATTATTTATGTCATACATTCCAGTCAATTATATATGTCATACATTCCAGACAATTATTTATGTCATACATTCCAGTAAATTATATATGTCAGACATTCCTGTAAATTATATATGTCGTACATTCCAGTCAATTATATATTTCATACATTCCAGTCAATTATATATGTCAGACATTCCAGTCAATTACATATGTTAGACAATCCGTTCAAATACATATGTCAAATGTTCATATCATTGACAAATGTCAGATATTTCGGTCTATGGCATATGTGAGATGTTCCTATCATTGAATATTCTATCAAATGTTCATGTGAATGACATATGTCAGTGATTTCGGTTCATAACATATATCAGACGCTCCTGTTTGTGACATAGGCCAGATGTTCCTGTCAATGCCCGAGTATCTGATATGCCAGAAAAGCGGACCCGTGTTGCCGATGTTGGGGGGGGGGGATACTATCATACGTTTGGGGAGTGGGGTGGGGGGCGACGCTAGCACGTATCACTCATACATTCAGTCAACCATTAAAATACTATTAACGCGGGCGGTGGTGGTTAATTTGGTTGAAAGCAGCGATAGATAGGATGTTAGATGGGGTAAAGTAAGTCTACATGGGGTTGTGGACTTGCGCGGAGTGTAAATGGGTAAAGGACTCGAGTGGGGTGGGGGGCGCCGCTAGCACGTATCACGCATACATTCAGTCAAGCATTAAAATACTATATTGATGACATTCATTCCAAATGACATTTGTTTCCTTCCCCAACCCATTTCGTTTCTTGAAGTTGGAACTGTTCTTTTCAAGTCTTTTTATAAGCTACTAATGAAAATATAGACAATGAAATCTTTGCATATGACTTGTATCAGATGGGTCATCACATCTAAAGAAATCCAGTACACATCTGAATATATCTGTCTATAACAAAGCTATCTGAATGTATCTGTCTGAGACAAAACTATTTGAATCTATCTCCCTAAAACAAAACTCATCTCATTTGCTAATTCGTTTGGACACATTTCTTATCTTTGTAACTGTCAGCTTTGACTTCTAACTTCTAACTCTGATAGTTTGGTGTACACATTTCTTTAGCTATTAACTCTGATAGTTTGGTGTACACATTTCTTTAGCTATTAACTCTGATAGTTTGGTGTACACATTTCTTTAGCTATTAACTCTGATAGTTTTGTATACACATTTCTTTAGCTATTAACTCTGATAGTTTGGTGTACACATTTCTTTAGCTATTAACTCTGATAGTTTGGTGTACACATTTCTTTAGCTATTAACTCTGATAGTTTCGTATACACATTTCTTTAGCTATTAACTCTGATAGTTTGGTGTACACATTTCTTTAGCTATTAACTCTGATAGATTGGTGTACACATTTCTTCACCTATTAACTCTGATAGTTTGGTATACACATTTCTTTAGCTATTATCTCTGATAGTTTGGTATACACATTTCTTTAGCTATTAACTCTGATAGTTTGGTGTACATATTTCTTTAACTTTTAACTCTGATAGATCCGTGTACACATTCCTTCAACTATTAACTCTGATAGTTCCGTGTACACTTTCCTTCAACTATTAACTCTGATAGTTTCGTGTATCCAATCCATGTACTCAGTCACTCGTGTGAAGACATCAGGAATTAATTCTTTCTGACACCCTCCCTCCACAAAGCTCCCCAGCCCGTAAAGGTAGTATCGCCCATTCACTTGACAACTCAGTGGTCCCCCAGAGTCCCCTTTGCAGACCCCTGCATGTGGGGATGTTGCATTGAAGTCCAAGCACACGTGACCATTGTGGATGGTCAAGCCCTTCAGGCTCCATAGAAACCGGCATCGTCTTTGAGGCAGGATGTTGACCTTGAGCTGTTGAAGGTGGTTGTGGATGAGCTCCAGCTTTGGGTTTGTCAGCCCCCATCCAGTGACCACACAAGTCACTGGTATTTTGGGAATTTCCGATTTCGTTGGTAAACAAATGGGTCTCACATTATTGTTAAACTCCACCGGGGAACTGAGCTTGATGAGCGCAATGTCACCGCCTTTAGACCTCTGGTCGTAATGTTTGTGTAGGATCTCCATAGCCGCACTGCGCTGGATAGTATTCGCCTCCCACCTATCCACATGGATACGACCCAGGGTTATCGCGCGTGTATTGTTGATGCAGTGGGCTACTGTGAGTATCCATGACTCGGCAATCAAGACGCCACTGCATACTTTAGTCTCTCCTTGCACGAACGCTTGCCATGGCCAGGAGTTCTCTGGGGCGTTGTTCCCGTGGATTATGCTCGAATCCATGTTGACACCCATGGTACCGCAATCCTTAGGAGCCTCCTGGAGTTCCGCTGGCAGCCCGTGTGGCAGTGGCGTCACCACCGGAGCAACGGTCGGGTACCGGAGGCTCATATACGAGTCATGGTAGATGGACAGAGGCAGTCTTGGCAACACGTAGAAGCCGCACCTTCTTTCATAGTACCTCTTGCAGGAGTTCAGCGGTTGTGTCAGGAGCAGGACAAACACCTGGTGTTGATGGAGACAGACCATTAGAAAAAATGCTAATAATACTTTTATGGAATGATAGAATACATCCGTCTTTTTTATTTTTACGGTGACTGTTAAGAACTTTCCTATTAAAGGAAACGTCAGGGTTTCGAAATCTCTTACATCTCTTTTCTTAAGGCGGTTCCTGTGTCGAGTCGTCCGATTGTTATACATTACAAGCTCCGTTGTCTAACTTCACTGTCACACAGCCATGCTTGGCCCACACTTCACTGTTACACAGCCATGCTTGGCCAACACTTCACAGTCACACAGTCATGCTTAGCCAAAACTTCACTGTCACACAGCCATGCTTGGCCCACACTTCACTGTAACACAGCAATGAATGGCCCAAACTTCACTGTCACACAGTCATGCTTGGCTAACACTTAACTGTCACACAGCCATGCTTGGCCCACACTTCACTGTCACACAGCCATGCTTGGCCAACACTTTCATAGTCACACAGTCATGCTTGGCCTACACTTCACTGTCACACAGTCATGCTTGGTCCACACTTCAATGTCACACAGTCATGCTTGGCCACCACTTCACTGTCACACAGCCATGCTTGGCTAACACTTCACTGTCACACAATCATGTTTGGCCCACACTTAAGAACAACAACAAACGTTCAATGAGAGAAGTTTCACAATTCTTTATTGTCACAGTAACTGTCAGTTCAGAAAAAGTTCTCGATTCTGACAACATTAACAATAGCACATTCACGCTGACAACACTAACGCTAGCACTTTCACGCTGACAACACTAACGCTAGCACTTTCCCGCTAGCTTACCGCTGACTCTCTCTCTCTCTCTCTCTCTCTCTCTCTCTCTCTCTCTCTCTCTCTCTCTCTCTAAGACATCATCTAACACACTCACTTTTATATCTACACACAACAATCACTCCACATACAACACATACACATATAGCACACTCACTCTGACAACACTCGCGCTCGCACTCTCACTCTGACAACACTCACGCTCGCACTCTCCCTCTAGCTCACCTCTGTCTCTCTCTCTCTCTCTCTCTCTCTCTCTCTCTCTCTCTCTCTCTCTCTCTCTCTCTAAGACATCATCTAACACACTGACTTTTATATCTCTACACAACAAACACTCGGCATACACCACATACACATACGCTAAGTTAACACCAAGAACCAACTTCATGATCTGACCTCACGACCTACAACCCACCAAACCTCTCACTGTGGAAAACTCCCCCCTACCAAACATTCACGTTCCTTATCGATTTCACAACAGTTGCATTTTTTTAAAATTAAAGTTATAACTAGATAATAGGGATATAATTGTGAAACGTTAACATAGTCTCTCTGCAACTATGTTGGACATATGCATAGACTAGTGGGGACTATATTGTGTGGTTGATATAGATTAGTGGAGACTATATTGTGTGGTTGACATAGATTAGTGGAGAATATATTGTGTGGTTGATATAGATTAGTGGAGAATATATTGTGTGGTTGACATAGATTAGTGGAGAATACATTGTGTGGTTGACACATATTAGTGAAGAATATATTCTGTGGTTGACATAGATTAGTGGAGAATATATTATGTGGTTGACATAGATTAGTGGAGAATATATTGTGTGGTTGACATAGATTAGTAGAGAATATATTGTGTGGTTGATATAGATTAGTGGAGAACATATTGTGTGGTTGACATAGATTAGTGGAGAATATATTGTGTGGTTGATATAGATTAGTGGAGAATATATTGTGTGGTTGACATAGATTAGTGGATAATATATTTTGTGGTTGACATAGATTAGTGTAGAATATATTGTGTGGTTGATATAGATTAGTGGAGAATATATTCTGTGGTTGACATATATTAGTGGAGAATATATTCTGTGGTTGACATAGATTAGTGGAGAATATATTCTGTGGTTGACATAGATTAGGGGAGAATATATTGTATGGTTGACATAGATTAGTGGAGAATATATTGTGTGGTTGACATAGATTAGTGGAGAATATATTGTGTGGTTGACATAGATTAGTGGAGAATATAATGTGTTGTTGACATAGATTAGTGGAGAATATATTGTGTGGTTGACATAGATTAGTGGAGAATATATTGTGTGGTTGACATAGATTAGTGGAGAATATATTGTGTGGTTGACATAGATTAGTGGATAATATGTTGTGTGGTTGACATAGATTAGTGGAGAATATATTGTGTGGTTGACATAGATTAGTGGAGAATATATTGTGTGGTTGACATAGATTAGTGGAGAATATATCGTGTGGTTGACATAGTTTATATAGTTTTCATATACAAAAGTAGAATAGCCATTGATCGTGATCCCCATATCTCAATCAAGTTATATAAATATAAAAAATACAATTAACCCTAAGCTATAAGTCTCTTACCGTACAAAAAAGTCCTTTCATTTTGTGAGGTCGACCACCTGATGAGGATTCTCCACCTACTGGTACACAATAGGAAGTGTTAGACAGCTGATAGTGTGTCACATGTAACATCAGGGACTCTCAAACTCTATCAACTCATGGTTTATCTTTTTCTTCTCCTTTAAGACTGTTGCTCAGATTTGATTGATATGAATTGACATTTCGGATTCTTTCAATTTATATGACGTATGTCGTCGGCCGACTTTCTTATATTGTTTTAAGTTTTTATGGAACATTTTGTTAATGTACTCGAAGGCTTATTATTTATCACTGGCAATCGATTTTGGGAAATACACGAAATAATTTTTTTTTTTTTTTTAAACAGCGGAATGGCAACCTGACATCTGGGGTATTTCACAACTGCATTAAGTCACGTGGCAAATGAACTTGCTTTTGAAATGTCAATGAACGGTCAGTGACCTCAAAGTTAATTGAACGAGGCATCGGTCACAGCTAGGCACAGGAAGAAGCCCCACAACTGAAGGCGGTACACACAGGATTTGGGCATACTAAACAAGTAGGTTTAATGTGGACGTGGCTTTCATAATGACCTAGGCTTATCATTGATGTCGGTATACCATGAAGTATGTATTTAATGAAGTCGGTATACAATGAGGTACGTATACAATGAAGTCGGCACACAATGAAGAATGTAAATAATGAAGTATGTATAAAATGAAGTGGGTATAGCATGAAGTGGTTATGCAATGAAATGGGTGTACAATAAAGTAGGTAAACTATGGAGAATGTATACAATAAAGTATGTATAAAATGAAGTTGATATACAATCAAGTGGGTATACAATCAAGTGGGTATACAATCAAGTCGGTATACAATTAAGTGGGTATACAATCAAGTAGGAATACAATCAAGTGGGTATACAATCAGCGGGTATACAATCAAGTGTATATACAATCAAGTGTATATATAATCAAGTGGGTATACAATCAAGTGTATATACAATCAAGTGTATATATAATCAAGTGGGTATACAATCAAGTGTATATACAATCAAGTGTATATATAATCAAGTGGGTATACAATCAAGTGTATATACAATCAAGTGTATATATAATCAAGTGGGTATACAATCAAGTGTATATACAATCAAGTGTATATATAATCAAGTGGGTATACAATCAAGTGTATATACAATCAAGTGTATATATAATCAAGTGGGTATACAATCAAGTGTATATACAATCAAGTGTATATATAATCAAGTGGGTATACAATCAAGTGTATATACAATCAAGTGTATATATAATCAAGTGGGTATCCAATTTAAGATGTTTTAAAATGAAATACGACAACAAATCAACATGTATGCAATGGAAGTTTGTCAAGCCTAAAACATTTGACAACATTGTACTACTGACATGGGGAGACATTGAATACAGGATATGACACAGATGAGAGATGTCACAGACAAGCTGACTTAGGATATGACACAGGAAAACGAGCATGACAGAGGAGACTGACAAACTGACATAAGAGATGAAATAAGACAATTATCGTGACAGAGGAGAATGACAAACTGACATAAGAGATGATACAGAAATTTACTTGGGGTGTTCGACATTGGGTTGTCTGACATTGTGGTGTCTGCCAGTGTGATGTCTGACATTGTGGTTTAGAGTAGCATGACTTTAGAGTAGCAAGAAATTAATGTAGCATAACATTAATGTAGCATGATAGTAGTCTGATATTAGAGTAGCGTGACATTAAAGAAGAGGGACATTAGAGTAGCGTAAAAATAGAGTACCGGGCATGGTATAAGAGTTGAGTGACATAAGAGTAGCATGATAGTAGAGTATCGTGACATTAGTGTACTGTGTAATTAGAGTAGCATGACATTAGATTATTGTGATAAGAGTGGTGAGACAGAGTAGAATAGCATTAACGTTAGACTAGACTAGCGTGATATTAGAGTAGCATTACATTAGAGTAGAATGACAGAGTAGCATGAAATTAGAGTACACTAAGAATATGAAGACATAAAAGTAAAATTTCATTAGAGGAGAATCAAATTAGTGTAGCGTGACATAAGATCATCATTATATTAGAGTAACATTACATTGGAGTACAATGACATTACATTAGAATGGCATTAGAGTAGCATAATATAAAATTAGGATGACATTAGAATAGCGTAACATCAGACTATCATTACATTAATGTAGAATGACATTAGAGTAGCATGACATAAGATTATCGTGAAATTAAATAAGAATGAAATAAGAGTAGAATGACATTATTGTAGCGTGAAATTAGTGTAGCATGAAATTAGAGCATCGTGATATTAGGGAAGCTTGAAATTAGACTACCATGACAAAAAAGAAGCATTACATTACTTTAGCATGACATTAGAGTAGCATGACATTAGACTAGCAAGACACTACAACAGCATGCCATTATAGTAGAATATTATTAGTGTAGCGTGATATAAAATTAGAATGATATTAGAGAAGCATGAAATAAGAGTTGCATGACATTGCAGTAGCATGACATTAGAGAAGCATCACAGTATAGTAACATGACATTTGATTAGAATTACAATAGAATGGCATGTCATTATACTGCAATTACATTCCAGTAGCATGACATTACAGTAGCATAAAATTAGTGTAGCGTGACATCGGAGTAGCATGATATTATTAGAGTAGAGTGACATTGCAGGGACATGATATGATGGTAGAATGACATAAGATTAGCGTGACATTAAAGTAGAATGACATAAGAATTTCATTATTTTAAAGTAGCGTGACAATGGGTTAGAATGGCATTAGTGTAGCGTGACACAAGGTTAGCATGCCATTAGAGAAGCATCAAAAAGAGCAGGATGATATTAGAGCAGCGTGATATAATGGAAGCATGACATTAGAGTAACATGATATTAGAGTCGAATGATATTAGATTAGCATGACATTAGAATAGAATGACATTATTGTAGCGTGACATTAGTGTAGCATGATATATAGTAGCATGAAATTTGAGTTAAATGACATTAGATTAGCATGCCATTAGAGTAGGGTGACATTTGAGTAGCGTGACATTAAAGTAGTGTGACATTATGGGGGGCATCCCATTAGAGTAGCATGGCTTTAGAAACGAATGACAGAAAGTGGCATGACATTAGAAAATAATTACATTAGAGTAGCATTACATTACAGCAGGATGAAATTAATGTAGCGTGACATCAGAGTAGCTTGATGTTATAGTTACATGACATTTTAGTAGATTGACAGTAGAGTAGAATGGCATTAGATTTATCATGTCATTAGAATTAAGGCATTAAAGTACCATGACAGTAGAATATCGTGACTATAGAGTAGAATGACATAAGCGTAGCAAGACATGAGAGCAGCATGTCATTCGAGTAGAATGACATTAGATTAACATGATATTAGAGTAGAACGACATAAGAGTATTATGATATTAGAAGAACATGACATTGGAATAGCGAGGCCGTAGAGTGGTTTGTAATTATATTAATGTTACTTTAGTATTTTTGGCATTGTGACGATCTGAAGCTGGCCTTTGTAAAATTTCTTATATCATAAATCCGCCCTTGGAAACCCCTGTATAATAACTCCTTTCCCTCCCCTCAAGTAGCCCCGCCGCCGCTCTGCACGAGTGAGTTCCCTTGTGATATTGTATTCCTGAATCAGTTCGCTCACCTCCCGAACATGCTATTTGCGGTCAACCATCCCACCGAACAACCTTGAGGAAATAATACAATTCCCCCCCTCATTTTTGCCCTGTAGACAGCGAGGCGGAGTTTCGTCCCTTGCTGGAATTGCATTGTCTAGACAGAAAACTCACGCCAAAGCCTGAAAAGGGATGGTCACCTCAGTCCGATTAACCTTGAGGGTTGAAGGTCAAACCCGCAACAGTGAAAGTGATTTTCATTGGATAGAAAATTGACCCCTCATGTGAATCACCCAATTGAACCATCAGCTAATCGTCATCGAACTCGAATAAATAGCCTGAACAAGCAAGATTCTGCCTTTTATGATCTGATCACCTGACGGTGGATGCTGGAAGGATCTGCACTCAGAACTTCGTCAGCATGATACATAACTGCATCCTAGGATATTAGCAAGTATATGACTTTAAGATCTGATCACTTGATTGTGGACGCTTGAAGTGACTAGACTTAGCACTTCACTGGCGTGATACTTAACTTCAACTGCTACCTAGAGTACTAGTAAGTACGCAACCATGATTTTGGTATTGCACTTGTATTGTTCATTCGCTATGTCGCAAATATTCGATCGTGGTTGATCCTATTCCAATAATGCCTATATTTACTTTATATTGATATTATGGATTATATTATTGTTTTTGCTGTGGGCTTCGACATGCCGCCATCCCATCATGGGGATGGTAGGTTGTTTGTTCCAACTCGCCCATGTCTCTTTTAACGAGATGACAATACGGACACTATGTACCTGTAGATATAATGATTGTTATTGATACCATGTCCCATATTTCATTAATTAAAATGTTTGAGTGGTCTAACCTTGTCGCGATGCAACATATGCTCCCGCCGACAATGAAAAGACTTATATGAAATCCACAAATTGGATGTATATATGCACAAGCTATGTCACCTTCCAGACATCGATCTGAATTCGTTGCTGTTGGAACGGGACTAATCAGCTTATGGAAATTCGCCTGGATACTTATCCAATTTTGTATTATTTTGCCTTTAGCCTGGTTTCTACTACTGGACCGACTTACCTCGAGCTGGAACTAGGGGATTGATCTACATCCTACACCAAACTACCTGACAGCTAGGACTTCGAGATCCAGGGACTCTCACCACCACGATTTATCGCGGGAGAGTCATTTTCCCCTCGCAGACCTTCTACGGAATCTACGACCGGGAACTCCGACTTCGCTACGCTCAGAACAGCACCAAAGGCCGGAACAGGGACACTGCTTCTTGAACAGAAGGACTCCCACACTGTGTGATCCACCGAGACCATCACAGAATCTATAAAGGC